TGTCCCGGCCGGAGCGACGAGACAAAACCAATAAAACTCATTATAAACGAGGCATTTGTTGCATCCAGTGGGGACATAATTACGGATTATAATGACTTGCACTGTCTTTTTACGCGTTGCATCGCAAAACATAAAACCATGTCTGCATCTGTGATCGGGGAAATGACAAACAAGCACTACTCTACACTGCTCAAAACTCGCATTTGAATCATCAGTGGCAAATTCTTTAAATGAAAACGTACTTGCAGTATGTGAGTCAGAACAGCTGGCATTTTAGTCTACTCTTCCAAGATCAGGAAACAGTCCTCCATAAAATGTGCTGCACACAAATTAATATTTGGGTTGAACTGTTCTGCAACAGTGTTGTAAATACAACTTAACCACTGATTTCTAGTCGTGTCCTCTTTTGGAAGGCCAAACAAAGTAGTTTCGCTTTCACAACGAAACACACAGCGGGCTAGAGTGAGCAGAGGCCGGTGGCTAATGTGAGCGGTGGTGGGCGGACTTGAGAACGGCGCGACCAGCGGATTCGACGAAGGAGCGGCCGGTGGGCTTGCAGCAACCACATATGACGACTCCGGGCTGGACTCCGCTTCGTCCACGGTGAAAGCCGATCCGGCGATCCACAGCGCGAAGTTGATGTATTCCCTCAGCGACCAGCACGGATCAGCTGTAGGCATGACGAAGCGGATATCGTCCTCTTTTGGAAGGCCAAACAAAGCAGTTTCGCTTTCACAAGGAAACACACAGCACCTTCACAACATGGCGGCAGCAACAATACTACAGTGAGAATAAAAGTTACGCCGCCTTTCTTTGCGTGAACATTTGGGGCGGTGTTATGCAAATCTTCCCACATCGTGATGTGGGGGGCGTGTGGGGGCGTGTTAGAACGAGCCGTTTTAGGTAGGCGTGGTTGACTCTTAACTTTTATAAAGAATATCTCTTTGGTTTTGAGACTTTAGTCTTTGCAACTTTACAGATCTTGTTTATGCACCAAGAGCTTGTAACACTTCAAAGAGAAAGGAAAAATTTTAATCGCATCATATGACCCCTTTAATTTCAACATTTACTAATGCATTATTAAAATCAAAAGTTGTGTTTGTTAACATTAGTTAATGCACTGTGAACTTACATGAACTGCCAATGAACGACTGTATTAAATAACATTAACAAAGATGAATACTGTAATAAATGTATTGTTCATTGTGTGCTTATGTTAGCTCATACATTAGCTAACATTAATGAAATCTTATTGTATAATATTACCATATAGATGTATATGCCTACAAATAACTTTATTTGCATCATTGCATGTGTCATTATATTATTAACATTTCACCAAATCAAGTTCAAATACTAAGCTTTTGACCAGCGCATGTTTTTTCCCGTCATTAACGCCACATCAAAGGCAGTATGGGCATCACATTTACATTTTCATGAACTTGCAGGTTATACAGTTTTCTGTCGCTATGTGGGCACTCAGTTTTTTTCTGTTATTTGGCCAAAGTATCATATTATAAAAGCTTCAGCGCTTCGCACAAGCTATTTGAATGTGGCTTGACAACAAATGCTAGACTAAGACACTCTTCTGGCCAAAGTATCATATAAAAGATTCAGCGCTTCGCACAAGCTATTTGACTGACTTGACAACAAATGCTAAGACACTCTTCTCCGCTCCTCAAATACAAAAAAGCATTAGCCTTTATAAATAGTGTTTCTTGAGTAAAGAAAACGCTGTACTTATTCAATCAACAGTTCTTTTATTTACCTTCAGACTGCAAACAAGCTGAGATGCTCCAAACTGCGTGCCGCACTTCATTCACGAGAGAGGCGGGAGGAATAATGAGGTTTGACTGACAGTTTGAGGAGCCAATGTAGTTACGAGGTTTAGTGGTGGTGGCATTTTTTTTTTCACTGGTCCAGGATCAGTGATCCTTAGCAGTTGTATTTCCGATTTGAGCTTGAGCTTTAGAATGCTTTGGATAATGTAGCTTTTGTTGACGCTACCACGCTACTTGATCAAATAAAGAGCTTCACTATTGAAAAGCTATTTGATTAAGAATACAGCGACGCTACCACCACGCTACTGAGAAACGTAGTTAAGCTAGTAGCTTCACTACTTGTAGCGATAGAGGTAGCCAGAGCAAATTGATGAACAGAGGTGTGACATGCTCTTTTCAGCTCATTAAAGACTACTCTAGCTGCCGTATTCTGTAGTTGTTGAGGTTTGATCGAACTGACTGGAAAACCTGCCAAGAGAGTGTTGCAAGAGCTTGAACAAGGAGTTGTGTAGCATGTTTCGTTTAAAAGGGCCTGGTCTTCTTAATGTTGTATATGGCAAATCTGCATGACGGGCAGTTCTAACGGTGTGAAAGTGAAGTGACGTGTGGCCAACTATGGTGGCCCATACTCTGAATTTGTGCTCTGCATTTTACCCATCCAAGTGCACACACACACAGTAGTGAACACACACACACCGTGAACACACACCCGGGGCAGTGGGCAGCCATATTGCTGCAGGGAGCATTTGGGGGTTCGGTGTCTTGCTCAAGGGTCTCTACCCAGTCGTGGTGTTGTGGGTGGAAGAGAGCGCTGCACATTCATTCACCCCACCTACAATCCCTGCCGGACCTGAGACTCAAACCCGCGACCTTCGGGTTACAAGTCCGACACTCACTCTCCACGACTGCCCCAAGGGCCTGATGGTGTGAGAGTGGTCTCACATGTGGTGTGAGAAGGTAGGATCTAAAGGGAATGGTCAAAGCAACATATTAGGTGTATACGCTTAAACTTGAAGCAGTGCTGCACAGACAGATCAGTTTATGACGTTAAAGTACTCTGAAAGCTATAGAGAGCAGATGACTACTTATGCTTTCGAATCACTCTCGCGGTACTTTGTTATGCATTGATTGGTCTGCGCAGCGCTGCTTCAGGTCAAACACACAGTATGTACGCATATTTGCACCACTATTGGTCGATTATGTACAATGCTTATTGGTCAAATTACTTTTCAATCTTTACCTTCACTAAGATGAATGTGCCCAATTCCAACCTTGATGAAGCACCCCCTACATCATCACGGATCCTCCACCAAATTTCACAGTGGTTGGGAGACACTGTGGCTTGTAGGCCTCTCCAGGTCTCTGTCTAACCATTAGATGACCAGGTGTTGGGCAAAGCTGAAAATTGGACTCATTAGAGAAGGTCCAATCTTCTTCAAAGGCTTTATTCTAGTTTTGCATGACTTCAGCCTTGTCTGTGAGCCTGTCATGCCATACTCTGCTATATATGAATTATGAAAAGCTCTAGGCCAGGAGT